TATTTAAAAGGAGGAATTTGTTTGTTTATTTCTAAAACTGTATAAGAGGTTAAATGAAAAATCTTCAGAATTAAGACTAATAGAATAATTAATAGCTAATATAAAGGTTAGTTGCAGCCGTATGAACAGCCATGGTGGTTTCGGTGCTGCTGGGTTGATTTGGACTCTTTGCGGTTCTGTTTCAGTTGGTTGACGCCGCTGATGCACCGCGGTAACAAACAGCGACTCAACGAGAGCGACATGTACGGCGTTCTGCCAGAGGACCGCTCAGAAAACCTGGGAGAAAACCTACAGAGGTAAACCGACCTGGTTACTTTACTGATGATCATAAACGACTGAGTGGAGATGTTTGGGCCGGTCCAGAATGGGAGCTGAGTTTCCACCTGATCTGGACGATCCGGTCAGGTTTAATCTGGATTAGTTTCACCGTTCAAACCGTCGTGAGGCTCTGAAAGTTTATCTACATTTGGTAGAAGTCTGTTGTTTGAAGTCTTTTACTATTTGCAGCTCAGGTAAATTTTGATTTTAATTTTTATTTGTCGCTTCTAGTGTGTGTTTTAACTCACCGTTAAGATAAGAGTGGAAATATTTGATGACTTTCAGTTAAAAGTCACCTAAAATTTTTGTCATGGTTAAAATCTTGAATGTTTTATTTGGATCAAAATGATTGTCTATCATCACTCTATGTATTTGTATACTTATTAATGTTGTTTTTTGATTTATTTACGTAATTTTTTAAAACAGCAAAACATGTGCATAGCTTACATTACAAGAAGTGAACACTTATTTAATCCTCTCTTATCTCAGTTTAATGAAATCTGTTACTTATTGATGCACTAATTATCAAAATGTGCAATTAAGACATGTTATAATTACATTCTTGTGCCTTTTCAAAAGAACCAGTAAATGAATAATGTTACAAGCTGAGTTTCATAACAAGACAAGAAAAGCTATAGACACTTAATAACAATAACAATATAATAACTGGACCTATGGCATCAGAATAATGACCAACTCATTACCAATGTACACCGGATGATTATTTGCTTGTTTAGGGATCATAAAATCTTTTTTCTTGATGGATTTTTAATATTGTTTGTGTTCATCTTTTGTCTGAACAAAACCTAGTAATATGTTTCGCTCACTTACTATCACACACTTTGATTGCGGCACGCGTTTTCCCTGGAAATGTTTTCTTGCAACACAGAAAGTCAAAGCACTCGTTTCCAGTCAGACTTTTAGGATTTTTATCGCCAGCTTGTTCAGGAGAAGAGATGAGTCAATATTTCTCCTTCTTAAGTAGATCTGATCTCTGTGGTGCTTTTCAAAGGTCATGCTTCCTGAAGCACTATTTCTATAATAAGAGTCTGTTAAACTCTACTGTTGCCAGGCCCTGTGAGATGAATCATTTATCCGCCATGTGACATCAATAAGAAGCCGTTTATTGTATCAGTTTAAAGTGAAGCACTAGTATTTTTGCTTATTTAAATCTGTCCATTTGGCCTAAATATAGGGAACAAGCAGAATAGCTGATGGGTCCAATTGAGGGCCTGTTTGTAATTCGCCCTGTGTGAATGCTGAGCTGTTCTGGTAACACATAAGTTATTTTTTGAGAGAACAAATGGGATCATGAGACCAAGGAGCAGATCAGACGGGTCAGGGAGAAAGATAACAAGAAGCTTAATAAATAGGATTAGCTTATAAAACATTAGCTCAAGCT